CGGGAGCGCTGCTGCGCTCCCAGCGCCGCACCCTCCCGAGTGCGCCACGGGCTCGGCCCAAAGTGTTTTTATCTTGATTTTGATCATTTTGGTGATGTTTTCCTAGGCAAGGAATGTATATATTTTGGGTGGTAGAGCGCCAGGCATGTAGTAAGAGCCGATAAATGTTACCTAGTGTTGTCATCACCTCAGCTGCCAGGGCCATGAGCCTGGCTTTGTTGTCTTAGGTTAACTTTTGCTCGTGCCATTCTCACTGTCTCAAATTTGCAGAATTAAGCAGACAATGTTATAAGCTCTGGAGAAGGGGGCAAAGAGATTGTTATAGGTTGGAGTGTCTTGGGAGGCCTTCATGAAAGAGGGAGGACTTCAACTGAGTCTAAAGAATAGGTAGTGTTTAAAAGGCTGGAGACTTCATACCCATTAGAATGGCAACTATAGAAAAAAAAAGTTTTGGCAAGCATGTGGAGAAACTGGAACACTTGTGTACTGTTGGTAGGAATGCAAGACAGTACAGCGACTATGAAAGGTCCTCAAAAAATTTTTCTGAGTTTTACAGATACTCCAAAAAATTAAAAATAGAATTACCATATGATCCAGCAATTCCACTTCTGGTTATATACCCCAAAGAATTAAAAACAGAGTCTCAAAGAGATATTTGTACACCCACATTCATAGCTGCAATATTCACTGAAAGGTGGAAGCNGTTATGCTAAGTAAAATAAGGCAGTCACAAAAAGACCAATACCGTATGATTTCACTTACATGAGGTACCTAGAGTAGTCAGATTCATAGAGATAAAAAGTAGAATGGTGGTTGCCCAGGGCTGGGGGGAGATGGGTATATGGGGAGTTGTTTAATGGGTATAGAATTTTAGTTTTGCAAGATGAAAGGAGTTGTGGAGATTGGTTGCACAGCAATGTGGATGTACTTAACACTACTGAACTGTTCACTTAAGAATAGTTAAGATGGTAAATGTTATATGTATTTTACCACAATTAAAAATAAATAAAAGGCTGGAGAAGTGGAATTCTTTCAATTTAGAACCACTTGAATACATAACCAACAAACATTCAACAAAATAAAGTTAGTGTGTAGTGACTGGAGAGGATAGAGGTTGTTTGATGTGTACCTGTCTGTGTTTCAGGCAGCATGGAGAGTGCAGAAGATGGTGACCAGAGCAGGACTGGGGAGGCTTCTCCTGCCCAGGCTAGAGCTGAGAGTGCTGCTCAGCAGGTGCCTCGGGAAGAGCAGGGGCAGCTTCTTTACCAGGAGGAAACCATTGACCTTGGTGGGGATGACTTTGGGTCTGAAGAGAATGAGACCATATCAGAAGACTCGCATAATTTCATGGATAAGCTTAATGAGCACATGATGGAGAGCGTCCTCATTTCTGACTCTCCTAATAATAGCGAAGATGATGTGGGTGACCTTGGTTGTTTGCAGGATGTCGTGGAGCCCATAGAAGGTAATAACGCTGATCACAGCCTGGAAAATATTCAGGATAAAGAAGAAATGGACACTCTGAGTAACAACAGTGAAACTGATGGGGATGATACACCTAAAGATGTCTCCGACATGACCCCTGATAGCAGAGCATCTTTGAAAGAAGACTCAACACGAGAAGTGAAAGCTGGTCCCATGATTGAGAATGAAGACACTGAGAACTTGGTGCCCAGGAACGAGAATGCTCACCCAGAAGAGCAGGTNAGAATGAAGACACTGAGAACTTGGTGCCCAGGAACGAGAATGCTCACCCAGAAGAGCAGGTGTCGGAAGTGTCTTCCAGTCAGTCCTCTTCTAAAGACCAGCCCATCCCTGTGTGCACCATTTTCAGCAAGTCCAGCTCAGCTGCTTCCCACCCTCCCTTGTTCTTGCACAACGGCTTCGAGTCTCAGATGGTGAAATCGCCCAGTTTCAGCAGCGCTAGTGAGACCGCAGCCAAGACGCCTCCACAGGTGGTCCAGCCCAGTCCCAGCCTGAGCAAATTCTTCGGAGATACAATCAACACTAATTCCTTAGCCTCTGACTTCTTTGATTCCTTCACTACTTCCGCTTTCATTTCTGTCAGTAATCCCAACGCAGGCTCTTCAGTTCCAGAGAAATTGTCTTCACTTGCTGCTCCAGTGGGAGAAACTTCCCCCGATTCTGCTGACCCTTCTTACTCTGCAGGAATTGAAAGATCAGAATCCGGTGTTTCTACAGCTTCTCTAGAAATTCCTGAGTCTCCAAAACCGTTTTCACAAATACAGGCCGTATTTGCAGGGAGCGATGACCCCTTTGCCACTGCCCTGAGCATGAGCGAGATGGACCGAAGGAATGATGCGTGGCTTCCCAGCGAGGGGACCAGGGATGTCCTCATCTCAGTAGCCACCCAGCAGTATGGCACCGTGTTCATAGACAAGGAGAACCTCACCATGCCAGGCCTCAAGTTTGACAACATTCAGGTAAGATGTGCAATGCTTGTATTTATGTGTTTGCATCTTGTCCCTTTTAATCTATTTCTGTAAAAATATATGTGTTTGTCGGGCCTCCCTGAGCCAGAGGCCGACAAAACCGAGCGGGAAGAGACCCCGGTC